CAGGAATGCTAAGGGAAAATGATGGACTAATTCTGTTACCTTCCCATTTTTCAAGATGTGAGACACGGACAGGTGAGAATACAGTACCAAATATGTGGCCATCCCTCCCCTCAACAGACCAGAAAGCAAGACCTAAAGGATTTAGGTCTTGGGATGACTTGAACGAGGCAGGTTAAGTCACGGAAAGAACGAATGCCCTGCCCTCCGTGGAAAAACTGCTTGCAAAGATGAATGAGACAAAACAGAACAGGCCTCAGAGCCAGAAATCCTCAAACTTAGTAAGCAGAAATAGTTGGTTTTGTTTTTTTTAATGATTTTGATCTAAACAATACTGTATTCTGTATTCTCTTCCATGTGCTCAATTTTCAGTCTGTCAATCAGGAGCCATCCTCCAGCTTTCGTTTTTATCATCATTCTAAATATATATTACTCTAAGATTAGCAACTACTTGGTTAACTTGCAACTAGGATCTACGATTTTACCACAAGTGTAGGTACGGGTGCATAACGTGAGCAAGCACGTACAGAAATGTCCCCGTCCTTCCTTCCCGCATCACATCTTTAAATCACAGACTTGAGCAGACTTTTCTCCGCCACTAACACGGTCAGGGATGCTCAGCATGGCAGCACCTCACGACCCTCTACACCCTTCTCTTTAAGACAGACAGTTCGACTCTCTGACCCTGCGACCTGCCCCGTCTTCCTGTGAACCGCCATCAGGCTGGAGAACTGCAGGAGAACCGCTGGCTGCTGCGGCACCTCTGCTGAGCCAGGACCCAGGGTCTAGGGGGAAACCACGTAGGAGAAATGTCTGCGCTTCACATGGCCTGCCAGATCCACTCTTGGTTTCGAGTCCAGCTTTTCTGGGGCCGAAAAGACACCGCCGTCGGCAGGGAGGGGCTGGATGGGGGTGCTCGCGTGTGTCTCTTCTGCTTCCCTAAAAAACTTTTCGTATTTGTCCAGGTAGGGCGGCCTCTCAGGGAGCAGGTAATAATGCGTTGAGCTCACTTTCTTCCCGTTTTCAATGATGGGCAGGATGCAGGGGACCTTACCGGCGGCCCCCTCGCTGTGCTGTCTCTGCAGGGCTTTGCTGCTCACATATTTGGGGTCGGGGGCAAAGCTCTGTGTGGGGGGCATGACCCCGTTGAGGTAAGACGGGAGACTTTTGGGGCTCGGGGTGCGGGAGTTACTCCGGGACAAGGGTTCTCTTGGCGGGACTTTGGGGGGCCTGTCCTCGTCGCTGTAGGTGCTGGAAGTGACTTCGGCCGACCACCTTCTGTAGTCCGGCTTGGCCGGCCGGGGAGGGATGGGGACCCGGGGGGGCACCTCGGGCTTGTCGTCATCGGAGTTGGGAGAAGCCCTGTGCACGTAGCTGGAGATCCTGATGGCCGGCTTGTTAAAGGACCCTGCGGGGCCTGAGTGGGACCTCCTCAGTCTCCGGTGGGCCTGGGACGGAGGGGGGTTGGCACTCGTCCCCCCGGCAGCCTGGTCGTGCGCCTGGCTGAGATCCGCCGCCGAGACGGCCGGGGTGTCGAAATACGCATAGTTGATCTGTCCGCACCCTCGGAAGCTGCGCCTGCTGGGGCCGTCGGGTCTGAACTCGGAGATCGCGCAGTCTTCTAGAAGGAAGTCCGTGTCCGAGCTGGTCAGGAACTCGACCTCGCAGTCCGTCTCGTCCAGGGAGAGGTCCTCGGAGGCGGGCAGCGGCGGCAGGGGCCTAGAGCCCCGCTCGCAGGGAGCCACGCCAGGGGAGAGGAACGGGGGCGCCCAGGTGGGGGTGGGCGGGGGCGTGGAGGCACAGAGCCCGCTCACTGCCAGCCTCTCCAATCCACACGCCGCCCGACCCTCCTCCTGCTGCTCCCAGCCGTCACTCGGTGGCATGACGAGAGGCAGCAGGCGAGACTTGGCGGAGGGGCCGCGCTCCGGAAAGTGGCTGCCGTTCATCGGAGCAGACCTGGAAGCGTGCCCTGGAAGGAACCCGAGAGGTTACCCAAGATCGACCACGCTCGCCCTCAGCTGCCCGCGCTCCTGCCACCTGCTGCCGGGTCGCCCCTGGCCAAACACCCAGCCGCTGGAACGCCGAGCACACCCAGGCAAGCACCACGGGTGTAATTAGGGCCCGGAGGTGGGGAACGCACCCGATCTGGTTCAAAGAACAAATGACCTCTTCCATCTGCCTTGGACGTGTGCGCGGTGCATGCCCACACGCCCCAGAGAGGTTCTGTGACGTGTGCAGGATCCACAGAAGGCCAGCAGCATGTAACTTACGCGAGTGCCAGCCTGCACCAACCTGGCCCTTTGAGAGGTGGACCACACAGCACATGCAGGGCAGCCCTGAGATAGGACAAAGCCTCACCAGGCCCCTTGCGATACCACGAGCCAGAGACTCGCCTGCGATGGGACAAGCAGCCCTTGGCAAAAATCTAAGGAACGCCAGGTTCACGTTAGAAGGACTAACATACACACACACTCTTCTAAGTTTTTGTCAACACTTATACCGCTTTGTCACTTTCAAACAGGCATTCGAGGCTCGTCAGGAAGAAGAGAGATCCTGTCCGGGGTTCCTGAAAGTTATGATGTCTCATCGCTGGGACGCCTTTAGAAGCGCACACCCCCACGGGGAGACCCAGTGACTCAGGCTGAGGTGCAAAGGCGGCTAAGAACACGCTTAGCTTCAGAATCTGTCGCCACTAGGGGACTGGATCCTGTCGGAAACGGCTCAGGTCGTTCCCTCATTTAGAAAATAACGCTGGAGGCCAAGCTCACGCGAGGGGCTGCCACCACCCTCCTCCCCCAGTGCCAGGGGCGCTTGGGCTTTCAGTACACGTACCTATGGATGTTAGGTGCTCCGTCGTCGAGTTCAGACTGTAGGCCGTGGTTATGGGGTCGATGTTCAAAAAGCCGCTGAAAGGAAAGGACAGACACCTTGGTGACAAAGAGGCAGCAATCGCGTCCCCGCCCTCACTCGGACGTCACACACTCAGGCTCCAGCGGCCCCACGTCCTGCACTTACTTCTCAAACTCGCCGCGGCCCCCCCAGCAGGCCTTCAGGCTCCCCAGGGCTTGGCCATCGTGCAGAAACCCAGTTTTTAACGGGACTCTGATCTCCTGAGCAGCGACTCCGGCCATGGACATCGTGCCTTATTCTGGGAAGTCTTAAAACTCGCGAAGCGCAGGGAGGGATGTGTGGTCAGCCAGTGGCTTTCATTCCCTAGAGGGGATACAGAGGAGAGAGTAAAGGGAACAATCCCGAAACACGTGGAACTCGCCACGGTTAAGAGAATTTCGGGGGCTGTGGAATAGAAACGTTCCACGACCGACTTCCACTCAGTTCTTCCTTTTTTTTTTTTGCAGTACGCGGGCCTCTCACTGCTGTGGCCTCTCCCGCTGCAGAGCACAGGCTCCGGATGCGCAGGCTCCGCGGCCATGGCTCACGGGCCCAGCCGCTCCGCGGCATGTGGGATCTTCCCGGACTGGGGCACGACCCCGCGTCCCCTGCATCCGCAAGCGGACTCTCAACCACTGCGCCACCAGGGAAGCCCAGTTCTTCCATTTTTATGTTACCTAGCTCTTACTTTTCACGAGGGTACGTAAATGTAGACATTATAAGTCTTTTTTGGGGGGCGGGGGTATGTACTAATCCAGGATGTGAGATGCTTTCAGCCAATGGGAAACAGACCGTCGCCAGCCGAGGCAGAGGTCCTGCGCGCTGAGTTGCACAACACAGCAGCCTCACCCGCCAGAGCACACACACGGACCTTCCAGTGTGTGGTTGTGTTGACAGTGCAGCTCCTCCCACCCCGACCCCCGAGCTACACAAGTAATTTCAGAAATTACTGGGTTCGAATCTGCAGCACTAATATCCTCTAAGACCCAACGCTTTGATGAAGCAGGAGAGTCTACACTCGGCCCCTGATAACCAACCCCACAAGCCCAGCATTTACTTGGATTCTGTATTTCGGGGTGGGCCCCGGGAAGACAAATTCTCCGGTTACTACTTTTGCGAGAAAAAAAGAAATCGTTACATATGAAGATACTCATTTCCATTCTCCTGTGGAAATCAAGTTCCGCAGGGTGACTGGCTCCGGCAGAGACCTGGACAGCGTCCTCCTCCCTTTTAAAGGCAAACTGAAGACTGCGTTCTCCACATTCTCCCCTGTGAAGTGCCTAGAAATTTATGTCTGTGCTGCCTAGCTGCGAGGCATGGGTTACAGTTTTCTTAACCCAGCAGTTCCTCACCTTCAGACCCCTCCGCCCCCTTGTCACATGTATCTGGAGTCCCCAGTCCCCATATTCCGTATTCATTACCGCGGTGTATTCGTTATTAGCATCCACGTCTGCCCTGTCTTCAGATATGCATGTTTGCTTAGAATAAGGTGAGGACGTCACTTGTCAAGTCTCCGTGTCACACTGACCCCTTGTGCGACATGTACATACACTTTCTAACGCTTTCTCATCCTCTTGGCAAGTATTTTCGCACAAACCGAGAGCTGGGTGCCATGCTGAGGACTGTGGGTGACACAAGACGAGTGAGATGGGTGCTGTGCTGGGGGAGGGGCACACAGGTCAGAGTTTTGTTTCAGGGTCAAATCCGTCACCCCCTACAAGACTGTGAGCTCAGGAAAGAGGCTGCGCCCCAATCATTAATTATCACCATCTGAACGTTAGCAGGTGCTCAGTAAGTGAACGTTTGTTGAATGGATGTTTGTACAACGCCATCTATTAGTATTGTCAGCATCAACTGAATGTATACAATATGTAAGGCACAGGGTTTATTTTTTGTTTTTTTTTTAAAGCTAAGGGTCTAAAAAAATACTCTGCAAATGTTTATGATTCATTTTTTTTCACGTAGAAAGGAATGCAGACAGTAATGTTTCAGTGACAAAGGAGGACGGGGTCCGATCAGCCCTTCTCAGCTTTTCACTCTCCCGAAGTCAGCTGTTTTCATATACGAGGCAGAGATTTCAAAAGGTTTAAAATATTATTTCTAATAGTCAAGCATCACCTTTCTTTCATCGGTCTCTAAAGATATGTGATTAAGAAGAGAGGGAAAAAAAAAAAAACCCATCATTTCAGAAATCTAAGTTATTGGGAGGTCTTTTTTTGTTGTTTCTGAGGGTTGGTTTTTAAGATCAGGAACAAAGCAAATGTGTTTTTACTTCCCCTGAATGCAGTTAAGCTCTAAGAAAAATTTAAAATACAATCTTTAGCAAAAAATTGCTAGACACACCCTCTCTGTCCCTGCCCGGTGGTCTAGGGTGCTGTTTCTGAGCAATCTGCAAGCACTGGCAGGACGACAGGGACAGTATCTGTGGCGATAGAAAACTGAAAGGCCAGATAGCAAGAAGAATATGGTATCTGACGGGTTTGAAAGCACACGTTTGAAGATCGCCCATCCAGATCACAGGAAAGTGCTGCAGGGGATGGTGAAGGCCCAGCCCTCACCTGTCTGCAGGCCAGCAAGAACTACCAGTAATTACTGTGGGTCGGCCTCCGAATGCCATCTAAATCTTCGCTTTCAACAGGGTGATTGTGTAACCATCACCTCTGCTGAAATGGCCTCAGAATTCTGGACTTCCATTTCAGTGGTCCCTTAACATTATGTACACGTTCTAGAAAAAGTTATTTTTCGGTCATTGTTTCCATCACCTCCTTGTTAGCTTTCTTAAGGAAAAAAAAATTTTTTTTTTTTTAGTATAAAAAGAATTGTGTTCACTGAGGCAGCTCGCTTGTGACCACAATAGCGTCTTTGTGCATTCATCGAAGGTGACCTGCCTCTACATTTCAATGGGGAATTGTGAATGGGCCATGTTATGAAACTGTCCGAACTTCCCACTGGCTCGCACGGGGAGCTCCCAGGGCAGTGTCACTGTGTGCTCTCTTCTTCTGGAAAATAACTCCCAACTGTAGATTCAAAAAAAGGGAACCTGCAGGGGGTCTGGAAGCAAACTTTTAAAGTGTGTTCCTCAGGTTGTAAACTCAACCACCTGGAATTCTTTTATGCCTCTTTCAAAACTCTGGAAGCATTCAATATGTATACTCCTCTGTAAAAAAAAAAAAAAAGTCAATCAATTTGGTCAACCTCGAGTCAAAAAGAAACACGGCGCTCAAGTGAAATTTAACTGATGCTGCCGTGTTTCGAAGTTTGTTCCCTAACTAGCTCTACCTGACGATGCATTAGGAAAACGGCTGCAAAAAGATACCTACGTGGGAAAACCAGGACCTGTAAGTCCAAGATGGCATTGTGTGCTGAAATGCAAACAATACGAAAGCTAATGTGAATCCACTCAGCCTGGTATAGACCAGGGTCTCAATAACCTTGGGCATAGCAACTTTTCTAAAATACATGAACTAATTTTTAGCCTTTGTGTCAAAAATGCTGTTCAATACCCATCCCAGGTGTGAACTACTTTTTCCTGTTAACATCACTTTTTTTTTTTTTTTAATTCAAGGAAAAAAAACAAAACAAAATCAAACCCCTAAAGCCATTTGTTTCTTGAGGCGGTCCCTTACAACCCGGCGCTGCCTGGAGTTCTCATCCCGCTCTAGGGCTTCAACTCTACATTGACAGCTTCCCAAAACCCGAGTCCAGCCCAGGCGCAAGCCTCCACTTTGCACTTCCTATTGTCTGGTGATTACCTTTCCAGTCGGATGGTCCCCTGGCATCTCCAACTTTACTAACCAAATGCCTCCTGTCACCCACTGCACATCCCCTCCCCCTTCCCAAACCAGTTCACAGTCTAAGCAGATCACACGTCTCTGAAAGGCATCATTTTTAACCTGAATTACAGCAGATGTACCTTCAATCGCCAAGGTCCACAGCTTATTTCTACGCTGTTTCTCAAACCTATCTTCCTTCCGTCCAGATCTGCCTCGGGTCTGAAAGTCCCCCACCCACCCTGCACACCAGATCGCTGTTCCTCATCTCCCACTGCTGCAACCTCGTCAAAGTCTTCAAGGGCTGCTCAGTGAAAGCTGCTCGGTCTGGCATTGAAGGCCTTCGCAACGAGGCCCCCATCTACCTTTCTCAAGCTCTTGCTTCTCCTTTCCCCAAATCGCTGTTAGGAGTCAATTTAGGCTTCAGGGCCACCCTCTCCATGAACCCGCTCCCTTGGGAGAAGCCACAGGAGGATGTCCAGGGCTCGGGTTATTCTGTGCCCCTGGTCCCCTTCTATCAGCCTAACTTTCTAGGACAGCACTCCCACCGCCCCAACAGATCCTGACCTCATTCATTTCTGACACATACTTAGTAAGTGGATTTTGAGAAAATATTCATCTCATTTTTAAAAAAGTAATTACATGAAAGATTTATGTCATTTGTAATACAAACCAGTGAAGAAGGGGAAAAACACAGGTGTGTAAGGGATAAACTTAACATCTGCTGACATTGCCCAATTATAACGGAACAGGTCTAGGACAGGTAGCCAGCAAGGAATTTTCACTAAATTCATTTCCAAAATCCAAAGTGGACAGTTTGAGACTGGGTAAAAAATTAGAAGCTTAAACGGTTAACAATGTAACTTTCTCAACTGGCATCTGTTACTAAATGTCTACTTAAAGCAACCAGGGGATGCTGTCTAGAAACACTGAATTTCACCTCCTCTCTTCTGGATTGTAACGCACCTCCTGTGTTTTTGCTGCTAAATTTAAGGTCATTTTCCTTAAAAAAAAAAAAAAAAAAAGGGTTACACCCAAAAGCACATTGCACATTCTTTATCAAATAGGTGAAATCACATGCCTTTTGCTTGAGGATAGCCTCTTTGAGACTATTCTTTAAAAACCAGGCTACCTCGAGACAATAACCTAGATAGGCTTACCTGGCCACAGATCTCATTAATAAATCTCAGAGGCAATCCATGAGAGGGGGAGGGGCACATTTTTGTCACACAACTCATCCAGTTCTGCCCAGTGCTTCCTTATTTAAAAGTGTGATGTAATTTCCTCCTTTCAATCTGGTTTAAGAACCTGATTTCTGTTTATTCAGGGTGATAAATGGTCTTCTCAGCTGCATTTAACAATTACCTACCTACCTATTTCCATACCCAGGGAGATATAAGGTAACTATATTCAAAGCCAAAATTTGTGAAAAGAAACTGACTTAAGACCATGACAAATACCATGATTTTAGACCCTCC